CCATTTGTATTAAGATTTGAGCCACATTATTGGCCGGTCTTAATTTAGGCACATGTGGCGGCTAGCTATTGGCTTGCTAGCTGTACAAAAGGCTTGGGTGGTTTTCGCCCAAGTTGGAGAGAGAGACGGAGAGACGGATCTCTAAGCGCTGTGGGTCCTTTCGAACCCAGTGCGTCTTTCTTAAGAAGGCGATAGAGGCTCCAATTGCCGAACCCCTGGAGCCTAGCAAACTCCGGGGCACCACTTACCGACGGCCTCTAGCCTCTCCCTGTCACCGATCGCAGCCCAGACGAATCCCTACCCTAGAACCCAGTTATCGAAACCATGGAGTCTGAACCACTCCGAGGATCCTGGGAACCGAGTTTTAGAGTCCTCCAACGAGGATTGAAGCGGAGCTGTACCTGGAAACTGTCCAGCCTGCACCGCGACCATCTCCGGTGTAAGTAAGTAATCTTTTCAATCAACCATTACGCCTCCGTGACTGATTCTAGCTCGAGCGTACTACTCCACCCCGTGACTTTTCTCCGGCCCCGCGTGCCCGGGCTGCCGGCCACAGCCCGCGTGCACACAGATGGGCCCGGCTCGCGCCCGGCGAGGACGGGACCGGGAGCCGGCCCACACAGTTTCCATAAGTGTAATAGAGCAAAGTGCAAATGCTAGATGATAGGCTTGTGTGGGTTTGTTCATTCAGCTGCAATGAGTGCTGGCAATTGGCGGCAATCCATAGTGCAGACTTTCTTAGATGACAAAATTCTCTGACTTTCAAATGATTGAGATCTGGTATTGATGACTTGCTGAGGGAACTGGGTTTTTTCTTCTTTTTTTCCTTCAAAGGATTTTGGCTACACTAATGAGATGTACCTTTAGTATGTGAAGATGAAAATGGGTCAGACATGAAGTTATAAGCTCCAAGACTAGCAGGAATATCAAAGCAGGAAGTGTTCTAGATGCCTTGGTCCTCTTACTTTCCTATCTGTACTTTCTCAAAGCCTTTAGATAAGATTTTTTTCAAGTAATTTTGCAAGACAGTGTTTGCAGTGTCAATTCTTCATCCTCAGGACTTCTTAGCTTTCCTTATTCCCCATACAGTATTTTACTCCTTTTAATCCCATATGAACTCCGAGCATTAGCTTTTATATTTATTTAATTATTACAAAGAAACTCTCCAATATATACTCAACTTTTGTCTTCTATTTCTGTAATTACCTTTTTGTCACAAATGAATAAACATTAAATATATTAGTGCATCTATCTTAAAACAGTTAGCTCACTGTCTTTGTTTTGAGTAACTGCTCTGTATAAATGCATTTTCTTTTGTTCTTTTTAATATTTTATTGCAGAAGTATTACATTGAAATTGCCAAGCACACAGATGTAAATAATTATAATACTCATGAAGAAAACACCTGAGATTAATGTGGGACTCATCATTAACATGATGGAGTAACATTTTGTATTTCACTGTAAATTTTCATGATTTCAGTATGAGTGTTTCTTTTCCTTTTAGGTAGACTGACTCAGGTGGATGCTTGACCTACTTCACATCATATTGTTGCTATTGTTTCTCTGATTATATGCAGTATATGGACTTTGATAGGTTTATTGGGCTTTTTAGAGTAGTTTTATTTTCCCTAGTTTTCAAAGAACCTGTATAATAAAAGAGAAGAGAGAGTGTTTATGATAGCTTCTTGTTCCATAATAAAAAACAATTAAATGGGAGCATGCTGTGCTTTTCTGATTATACAACAGTGGTATGAAGGGATTGGATGATTGCTTTAATAATATTTGCCTCCACTGTGTTGTTCTTTTCAACAGGCTTTCAGATATTCAAATGGATCAACATGGATGTGCTCAGATCAAGAAAGGAGGCATACTTATGGCAACTAATTGTTCCACACACCTCTACTGGGTCTGTAAAAAACCAGCAGGTATTGATCTGTAGAATGCGTAGTTCAGTCCAGGTGGCCTTATGCCCATGACATCTGGGTGTATGATAAAAACATATATTTTGCCAACAGAATGTCCCTCCAGATTTTGGAGATGGACAACGCTGCATGTTGAAACTTTAAGTGGTATAAATCGGTTTAGGTCATTAATTTCAAAGGATCCCTGCTGATGTATAGCAGTTAATGATCTTGCCCCTTATCTCCACATTGTAATTTTAAACTAGAAATTACTATGCAAGCAGGGTTTAGAAAAGCATATGAATACGCTATTTTTAACATAATGAATGTGTTTTGAAAGGTGATCTTGCAATTTCTCCTATGGACCAACTCTGAGGAGTAAAATTGTGAGGTATTGTTATGCCGTGGTATCTTGTGATTATATCATGTGGTGGTTGGGGCATGATTTTAGAAATGGTAATTTTTTAATAAAACGTAGCTAGTGTGTGGAATTCCTTTTGTGACCACAGAAATTACCAGTTTGATTGTATAAAAGTACTTATCCTACTAGAGATGTTCATTAAAATAGTATATATTTCACTTCAAATGAAACCTAGATTTGCCCTGCTGTTCAAGCTTTTCAGTTTCATGTCCTGAAACAATTGATAAGAAATAAAACTCTAAAGTAATAGTAATTCTGTACATCATGGAGCACATTAGAAATTGATGCAGTAACCAGTGAAAACCTAATGATGAGTACAGTCTTAAGCTTGTGCTCCTCCTGCTCATTAGTTTCTAGGATCCTGATGAAGGAAGCACTTAAACATTAGGTTAAGCTCATTACGAATCAGACCAACACTTAGTGTACTTGTGTCCAGTAGATACTTAAGTGTTGTCCTGAAAAGGGGATCCTTTTGCGAGATGGAACTTAGTTATTCTAGGTGAATAACTACTGGTTCTAGTTTAATTTCACTAGTTAAAGGAGCTGTTGACCAAGTTAGCGTGCCTTTACTGTTCTCCGTTATTCAGGCTGTATGTACTTGCCAGCTTTCTTACAAAGTTTCTTTTTTCTTGCAGATGTTGATATTTTCTTGGAGTATCCTGGGCATCTTTTGCTTTCTCTTGCTGAGATGGCTCAGTACAAGACCCTAATGGAAGCCAAGTTCTACTGTGCAATGACAGAGACGTGTACTGGAATAAATAGTTGGCCATCCAGGTTTTCCCTTGTCTCAGGAACTGAAATGGTGACTGCAACCATTAGAAATGCAGTTTACTTGAAAACAAGTAAGAATCCCTTTTTCTGATAATTTTTTGATTTTATGTATATCATTTTTAAATGAATTGCATTTTGTTTTCTTTTTTATAGTGTGAGCAGAAAGTCATAATATACTTCTGTTTCTGTCACTAGTAGGAGTCTACCATAGAGCTGAGTATGGGAAGTTGAAGTGGGGGCTGGGATTCTAGCATTTGTGATGTTGGGCAACTTGGTTAGTTTTCCTCTTTGAATACATGTAGATAATACTTGCCCACTTTGTGAACTGTTTTGGAATCTGTCACGGGGCAAGATCCCTAGGGTGGCCATGATACCCCTAGTGGCTCTGTGACTGCGCAAGCTCTGCCCCAAGGGCACCCTCTTGTCTTACCTGCCATGTCTTGATGATAAAATAATAAAATCAGGAGGCTGCCCATGGGCTTTTGCATGGCCTTGGTCTGTCGAATCTCACAGGCACTCACTGGTCCTTGGGCCCTTCACTGGACCTCACTCCCGTATTGTGCCACACAGGAAACCTCGAGCCTTATGGGCTAAGTACGTGGCTCCAGACCTCCCCTATACCAGTCCCCATGTCTCAGTTACAAGGATGTTGTTATCTCTGTTGGGGCCTTGGCCTACTTGGCCTCTGCCCCTTTAATATGGCTAGACCTTCTAGCCAAGGCCCACTATGTCAGATCTGGCTCTGAGGCACAAGTGCCAATTGGTTTCTTCCAGTCACCGGGCCCCTGGCCCCTGTCTGTTGGGCCCCTGGCCCTTGCCTGACTGCACGCCTCTGGCGCTGGGCCTTTGGCCCTTGTGTAGCTATGCCCCTCTGATGCCGGGCCCTTCAGCCCTTGTCTGGTTGTGCCCCTCTGGGTACTAATGAGGCCTTTCTACCTCCCCTTACAGCCTCATCCCAAACTTCGAGTACAAACGACAATACAAACATAAGTCCCTGTGCTATAACGTAAAAATAATAATGAAGCTGCACTCTGCCCCTTTAAGAAGGCAAACTTCCACCCCTAAGACAGTATGCCCTCTAGCCCTGGGGACCTTGTGGGCTCCTGGGGCATTTTTACATATGCATGCATCGGAGCACCAGGCGTTTTGAAAAGCGCCCCCAGGGCTGCAACACATGCAATTGTATAAGCGGCGAAACGCACGTCAGCGCTGAGAAAATGGCAGTGGTGCGCTTTTGAATGAAAACGCTTTGGAGGTGCTTTAGTTCAAAAGCGCACCACTGCCATTTTCTCAGTGCTGACGTGCATTCTGCTGCTTATGCAACTGCATGTGGCGCAGCACAGTTTATGTCAGTTCTTGTGTGGAGCAGACTTGATTAATCGAATCTGCTCCGAAGCGGTTGATCTCCAGTGGATCGCTGGAAAAAAAGTATGTGTATAAATGCCCCTGGAGCCTTACTGCTCTTGTAGGCATCAGACGCCTGTGGGTAGCTCTCTTGGGCAGGGGCTCCTTTCCCTGACAGTCTCTAGAAACAGTAGACTCTGCCAGCCCCAGCCCTGAACTTTTATGGTCCCAGGGCTCTGCTTCCTTCTCATCAGCTGATTGCCTGCAGGTGCTGGCTAATTACCTCATTAGCCTGTTGCTCTGGGCAACCTGCAGCTGTGGAGCTCTGTCTAGCCTACTGGGCTCCCTGGCTAGGCTGCTTCTGCCCTTAAAGGAACAGGCACATCTTAGTTCCCTGCAACAATCCATGAGTGGAACGCAAAAGTTGCAGCAAATCTCACCTCAGTCCCACCGTTCCAGAGCTCCTGTGGCAACAAAAGCAGTTTGATTCTATTTGTATGAGTAGGGAAGAGAGAGTTTAATTTGAAGTCAAATTGCAGGCATGGTAGGGGCACCTTAGTGACTGACTGGTTGAGAGAGGCATGAGCTTTTGTAGGCAGCAGCCTACCTCATTAGATGTCAGGAATGGGCATTCAAGGAAGGCTTGTTGGAAAGCTTATTGTTCTGCTTCATGGGGTGTAGCTATGTGGCACTGGGCAGGAGTAGACTGCAGCAGCTATGGGCTGATTGCTGGGAAGAGTATTTGAACTTTTATTTCTTCAGTATACGTAGTACATATGTCTTCAAGGAGCAGTGCTACATCACTGAAGTCATGTATTGTGGGTATGAGACTGAATCTCAGAAGACTGAATTTTGGGGTGCTTCACCTTTTTATAAGGATTCAAAAACTCCTGTTATTTTACCCAAATAAATGCTATGGTAATTGTATATAATTTATATTGTGATTATAAACAGGAAAAGTAGCAAAGGGGGAAAACATGAAGTGAACCAGTATGCAAGAGTTTTTGGAGGGCAGGAAAGTTTAATTAATGGTGCATTATACCATAAAATTCTGTTGATCACTTTAATACTGTTATGTAGTATACATAGTTCTGGCTTTATGCTAATAAAATAAATACTCCAATTTTTAGTTAACTCTAAAGTCTTTCTTACTAGTCCTCTAGCAGAATGGTAGGAAACCACAGCAAAGGACTTTTTCCTAGATGTACAGGCCATGTGATGTTTTTTAAGTCGTCAAAACTATAGTAAGCAAATGGCATGCAAAATAAGGGGAAATGCTCTTTCTCAGCTGTCTGGGTTAGAGTCTTTACTCATGCCCTCCTTCTTAGGTAAGTTCAGACTGTGGCAGTCCTCTTGGTGTTTTAACTGGCAATGAAACAAAGACCGCCTGGCAAACAAACCATGTTTATAACTTTTACCCATGGCAGCTGTATCCAAATTTAGAAAGGCTTTTCTCTCATATTGCGAGATGAGGGCTTAAATCCATTTGGGTGCCTTGCACCACGGGCCAGGCCAACAACATCAACAAACGGTTATATTCTAACATATTATGGCATCTCTAGGACTTTTGATAAGTAGCTGTAGGATACGAACATTTTAAAAAATGGATTAACATCATTTGATAAAAATATTATAGTATGGATTGGAATGTAGGATACAGGGAACACCTACACAAGATGTTTCACTGTGCGGTAGAGCTAACTACTGCGCAGTAAGCATCTGTGTCTACATGTGCAGATGCTTACTGCATATTAATTGGCTCTGATTGTGAGTAAATTTGCTACCTGCAAATACAAGTAGTAAATATACTCAAGATTACTGCGTAGTAGTGCATATGTAGAAGCCAAATGTGCTGCTGGGCAGTACGGGGTGGGAGATTTCTCCCTGCCCCTGGGAGCTGTCTGCTGCTGGGGCAGGCTCTGCCACTGGAATCTGGGCAGGGACTATGTCCCCCATCCCAAGCAGCAGGGAGTTCCCAACCCCAGCTCTGATCGGGGTGGGTAGGGCTGGGGTGCTTATCTCTCAGCGCCAGCTCCGGGGTCACAGGGCTGGCACTGGGAGATTCTTTGAGCTAAGAATAAACGAGCTATTTGCAGTCTATAAAACAGAGGGCTGGTGGAAGACGTGATCGTAATATATAAATAGACTCAAAGTTAGTAGTATAAATGAAGAAAGGGAATTATTCATAGTCTCAGAAGATGGCCCGAAGGTAAGGAAGAAAAAATTTAGGGTAGAATTTTTTTTACCGGCAATTAGGTAGTGGGATTAACTCC